AATCCCCCCATACAATTTAGGGCCAATTTGAAATAGGCCCCTATCAAGGGGGCACCAATAGTTTTTGCCTCCATAGATAGGATTGAGGATATGTTAGGGCTCAATCATTTTAAAAATATTTCTAACATGATATATTTTATTTTATTTTATATTTTTTAGTCAAATTTATACAATTTTTCTTGAATATGTCATAATTTTAATATTATCCTCACATTTTATGTGTATTTTTAAAAATTATTATATGAGATGCTATTCAAGCACTCAGTTATTTTAAGCTGTTTCTCGAACTATTTTTTTTTCTTTCTAATCAATACTCAAGATCAAGTCACATTGTGACAAGTTTAGATTTATTATTATCTGCCAAACTACAATTATCCACATGTGACATGCCTCCTTCACATTTTATTTTTTTTAACTTCTTCAAATATATAGATCAAGCCAAAAGTGTGGAAGAAGACAAACCCTTCCAAAAAAAGAAGTGTTGATATAATCCAATTTTAAATCGTCCTACATCATAGAGTTATAAGTCATTTTTGTCATAGAATGTCACCGTACACAAACGGATCCAACAAATAATGAATGAACATACATGCAATCATCGCATCTACCAAGTACTATATATAGGAAACTATTCTGATTAGTTTGGTTGGAAATAAGTTATATCTTGAGATTAATTATCTCGGGATAAGTAATATCATCATGTATATGAGATAACTTATCCCATCACCAGTGATAGAAGGTGTCCATAAAGTGAACCTGCTCTTCTTAAAAAGTGAATTTTTTTTTGCTACTAATGAGATTTCAACAAACACACTTTTGAATTTGTGTCTTTACACTTTCAAGGCGCATGATACCACTAGACTACATCATATTGTTGTGTCAAGGGTGTCCAAAATATGTTATTTATCCACTTTATTCATCATTTTACTTGTATATACGATATAATTTTCTGACGAAGGGTGTCCAGTTGGACATCCTAAGATAAGGGTAGCTACACCACTGCCCATCACTATGGTATAAATACCTTATACCTCCATCCAAATACATGATAAAATAATTCTATATTTTACTGTGAGATTATTATATCTTATGTCTCACACCAAATGACTCCTTCATGTTAACAATATTTTTTATATTTTTAATATTTAAAAATTCTTAAAAGAACTATAATATTAAAATTAAGTTTTGACTTTTTAATTCGTAGCAAATTTATAAAATGAGCATTCACTTCGCTCGAAGCACAAATAAATTCATTAATTATATATATAAATATGAATTTGAAGAATTCTCGACTTTACTATAAACTTTACTTCATAATTCCTATTTTTTACGTACCAAATTCTTGATTTTCAGGAACTACTTGATAGCCCATAGGAGTTGTGTGTTATGTCTAGCCCATAAGCCTTATGAAGCTATGGACTGCTAAAGCTCACGAGGCCACTTAGACTCCAATTCGAGAACCCAAAGGTATTTGTACAAAGAGAAACAATTACGCTATTGTTATAAAATAAGTATCAATGCTAAGATAACATGATAGATGGATGAGAAATAGTATGTTTAATATTTTAATTTAACTTGTTCTTGATTCTCTCTTTGTTACAAGAAGATGAGGTATATATAAGTGTATATATATGGGCATCAAGTGTGATACATGGGATATTTATTTGCCATGTATATATTTTGGGCATCAAGTATATCATATGTTAACTAGTATACAATACTTAACATATTGTGTGTATACTTATCTTACATCACATAATATATTAATGTGGACATCCATTTTACAACACTTCTCCTTGAATGTCCATATAAAAAAAAGAGTGAAAGAAAAACTGTAGCAATACACATTATTTGTTGCCTCATTAAAAACCTTACCGGGAAAATCCGGTGGAATAAAATCTTGGTTAAGAAAAAAAGAAAGTGTAGCATGTATTTACCCTTGAACAAGAACCATTAATTAACCTTTCTTCGATTAGGGGTAAGTTAGTATATAAAAACACTCCTTATTTTCTAAGAATGATTGATTTCTTAAGAGAATATGTCCAAGTTAAAAATATCTCTTATTTTGATATGAAGAGTACATATATTTCTTTTTTCACAATATAATTTTAATGTATTTTAATTGTTACTTTTTTCTATCAGAATATAAATAAGATATTTAACCAGATGTGTTCAAACAATTTAATATCTTATAAAATTAAATTTAAGAAAACTTTTACTAATGATGTTTAAAATTAATTATTAAATTTGTATGATGCATCACACCTAAGAAGAATATAGGGGTGGAGATTTTTGAAGAAACACTTAAATACATTCTTTAAGTTGCTTTACACATGTAGAAAATGCATAGGATTAGACCAGGACTGACTCTACTGGCTGACTCTACAGGCTTGGGAAAAAAAGCAAGTGTCTTAGGCCCCCCATGAGGGGCTTCGTTTTCTGCACTAATAATAGATTTTAGATATTTTTCTTTAAAGAATATATTGAATATTATTTATAGAAAATGTAATTTTTTTCATATAAAAGAAAAAAATTATTTGAATTTTTTTTCATATCTACAATACTATAATTTTTAAAAATTAAATGAATTGAATATAACAAATTACATAAAAGAATAAAATTAATTTAAGATTTTCATTGGATTTTAGCTTTGGGTCACGAATATACTTGAGCCACCCCTAGATTAGACATGTGGATTATTACAAATAACAATTGGAAGTGAATTGCATACCCACCGACGTGTCTATGATATTTGTAGGAGGGCCTGCCAACCTTGCTATGAAAATAAAAAAGGATAGATGTAATATTATAAAGGGAAAATTGTACATAATGACAAACTATTAATTCAAATTAAATGGTATAATCACACTTTGATTTAATTGTGTCCTGTAGCAAACTGTTTGCCAGCACCTCTCTCCCTCAAACTCTCACTCGCCACTCTCCTCTCTCGCTCACTCCCTCTGTGCTCGCCTCTCTCGCTTTATACAACAGAAGTGTATAAATTGTGTTTCTGTTTGTATAAAGCGAGAGAAAATTGTATATACACATGCAAATACATATATATTCGTCCTATACACTTATAATTATACAATAAAAATATTCCCCTGCCCCCTGCCCAGTTCTCTTTTGTCTTTCTCTCTTTCTCGTTTTATACAACAGAATTGTATAAATTGCGTTTCTGTTTGTATAAAGCGCGAGAAAATTGTATATACACATGCAAATACATATATATATTCGTCTTATACACTTATAATTATACAATACAAACATTCCCCTGCCCAGTTCTCTTTTGCCTTTCTCTCTTTCTCGTTTTATACAA